AAAGAGCTCTTCTTCTGGGATCTACAAAGCACCTGTGCACCTTCCCAGCAACATGAAAGAACAGCGATTTGTCTGTGAAGCAAATCCATCAGGAGACGTTTCAGACACTGCAGCTCTCAAATTCAAGAGCACAGCAATGCTCTCCTCAGGAAAAAAATCAAAGCAACAGAACAGCAATAAGCCGTTGGCTGCAAGCAAGCAGCAACCACCATCACCTTCTTCCCAGAAGTAGGAGTGAAGGGTTTTCTGAAAAGAGCAACACAAATACAAGGAGCTGGAGGGAAGAACCCAACTGCAGTTGAGAATGGAGCATTTTGTCTTTCTTCCCAGCCCAGCTGTACAGCACCGAATGTCACCTGCCAATCCATCAGCTGCCTTCACTTCCACTGCTCAACACTTCGTTGCAGTCTTGTGTTTCAATTGAGCCAGTGCACCACAAAATAGAAAACTCACAAAAAAACCCACCAAAACCCCAAATCTTTCCAGAATGATGCCACACTCATACCTGCCTTAGACATCCTCCTCCCAATACCATGACCAGCTATAACCACAGATCCTGTATATCCAATGCCTTCGCTATGAAGGCAAGTATCAGAAACCTTGCTCTCAACTGTTTTGCCCTGAAACTTGTAGAAAGAACTGCAGAACATTAATTTTTAAATACCTCCACTTCTAAAGGATGAATTATGGCTTAATCTGGACGCTACAACATATTTTTCTTGTTGCAGCCACAACGTGTGTGGGGGAGGAAATACAGAAGCACTTAGACTGAAGTCTATCTCAAGTGCAACAGAAGGTACTGGGTCATCCTCTGCAGGGTTTTCCTAAACTACTGTCAGTGCATGCCAAGACACTAAGTGCTTTTGAAATGCTGATTAACTCAAGATAATGAGATTGCAGGGACTGCAATTATCCACTGGAGCTGCACCAGCTGGAGGTCACGTTGGTTTATTAGGCACGTTTTGACTTTGTAATACAGGTGCAGGACCTGACCCTGCTCTGCAGACCCAAATCTGCTGTCTGTTCCAGCCCTATTGTGGTAACCTCGTACCCCACCACCAAACTGCACATGGCCAAGGGGAGAGATGCACATGGGAATATCTTCCATGAGATTTGCAGATGAGGAGTTTCTCAAGTCAGCAGTATTGCCTAGGCCTGTTAAACCCTGCAACTTTAGGAGACTGAATCACCAGAACTGGTAAATCAAAATGGAAAGGTGGAACAGCTACACCCTGACTGCTCAGACCAAGGAGGAAGATGCTACAGACTGGATTCTCTTCTCAATCAGAAACTAACTTGGCTGAAGTAAAGGAGTTAACTCGGAGCATGAAATGAGAATCAGATGGTTTCAGTCTGAAGGTTTTGTTACCTGATCTTTTTGTTTTCTCACTTAATGACTAACACTGCCCTGCCCTGCTTGCGCCCTTCCAATTCCTATTCACGTGTGCTTTTGCTTGAACTAAGGAGATGAACGATAAACTCCAACTGGTGGTTTTCATGCAATAAGCTGATGTCATGATTAGATCACAAGCTTTTTGGATAACAAAATGCCCTTAAATAGAGGATTGCATCATTTAAGGTTTGGCATATACGCACGTTATAAATACACATGCTCTCAGAAATACTTCTCTGCTCTTAAAAAAGTGCGATATCTTTCTCTGCAATAGTACTGAGCCAATTATCAAGTGTTTTACTTTGGTCAGGGGTCAGATAAATGCAGAAAAGGGCTTTTAATTGTATCTATCATAGCTCCCCGGGGATTTAAAGAAGCTCTCTCCTGAAAAACACTTCCCAATATACCCCACAGTGCTCCACTGAACATGTGGCAACCTCAGAACACTCCTGCTGCCATGGCTGCTCTATGATACTGCAAACATTCAGTGCACCAAGAGCACCGTGAAACATCCACCACCACACTTTTTCTACCTGAAACATCACGCAGGCACAACAGAGACAGCAGCAAGTAAAATGCTTACCAAATTCATAGACTTTTTTACATTTGGTCTCCAAATCGTCTATGAGGTCGGGCAGCCGGCACTGCTTGGCTAACCTCTTGCAATCACTTACGTATTCTACGTCGATATCAAGACGACCTGTCAAGAAGAAACACAGCCAGTTCTTTTAACCCATACCACTTAGGTGAAAAAATGGCAAAATTGGGGTTTGAAGACTTGATGGCACAGAGATGAAGTAATTGGATACACTGCCTCACTTCTTAGCCAAGACTCAGCACCCTACCTTCCAGTGTTGGCCTTAAGAGCTTCATTCAAGAGGCAAAAGAGCAAACAAGCTTATACAAAGGATGTCTAATTCCCTCAGAAAATAAAAAAGAGCAGCATAACAGCAGCATGCATGACTGCCACCACTGGCTACCTGGCTTTGGGTAAGAAAACTTCAGGCTCACAAGCTGCCATCCCAGAATCTTTTCTCATCACTGAAAACGGGAAGGGCAGGAGAGCCTTGAAGATAGAGTTACTTTCTGGCACCACCTCCTGGCCTGAAATAGTTGAGCAGTTAGCATGCCTGCAATGCAACATTTGGCATTTTCCCAGAAGGCTCACGATCAACTTCTGTTCAGAGAAAATATTAGAAAGTATTCGAAGCATTCAGCATGCACTGCTCAGGTCTGCCAGGCTGAGAGCGTCCTGCGTGGGCACCTGGCTTTTCACCAGCTATGGGGATTGCTAGCCCAGACAACCGATTTATACTTTCCTTAAGTTAAAAATACACCCTCCACATCCACCCAACCAACCAACCCAAGCCGATTTCCTTTTAATTGACTGTATAGCTATTGGCAGGACAACAACTGGCAAAAGGTACGAACAACTTGGAAGAGCTGGGGATTGCTCACGTTCTCCCCTTCTGCCAGCAGAGAGGATGTGTTGGCGACTCACACACTCAAACTTGGCTGTGTGCAAGCCTGTGGCACCCAAACAGCACTATGGCAGAGGCACAGACAGCCGCCCACCAGCCATGTGTACGTACACCACAGAGTAAGACATTTACCTGTGTATAGATACTGCAGAAGAGCGCCAAAGGCCGCTGGATTAATCTAAAAGAAACACAATAAAGCTACCGTTAGAATTCCCAGGAACTTAATCACAAGCTTGAAGCTTGCTTGGATACAAACATGATCTTGAACAAGTCAAAAAAAACCCCACATAAACAGCAACTCAGACACTGCACCCAGTTTCCTTCCTCCTCACGTAACTGATGCTGCCACTCCACTTGGTTTACTCAGCTCTTTAATGGTATCAACTGATGCTAATCTATGGGCTTAGGGGACAGGACCTAATGGAGGTGTTCCAAAGACACAGTTACAGTACAGGCTCTGTGAAATCCAGTCTTTCACTGCTCACAAACAGTTCCAACTCTCAATTTGAGAGGAAAGCCATGTTCTTGTACCAAGAGACAGAAGACACATTAGGCAATGCCCTGAGAAACTGGAAGTATGTTTGTCATGAGAGGTTTTGCACAGCCCCAAGTCAAGCGATAGAAACATATGCCAGAGTATTGGCGATTAATGGATGGAAGGCACTTACGGCCTATTTAATTCTTGCTGCAAAAGGCAACAAAAGGGACTCAATTAGTGCCAATTATGGAGGTGATGTCTTCACTGTAGACCACCTGTCCACCAGGAATTAGACAGACTCAACTCATCCCACAGAGAAGTGGTGACGCAGCTGGCAGATGGTAACAGCTACCTGCTACTGCAATTAATTAAGATACGTTTGAGCCCATGACAGAGGGAACAAAGAGGGAGTATGCAATCTACAGCCTTTTGTTAGCTGAATAAGATGCCATTTTACTGCACAAAGTGCCTCCACAAACCCCTCTCCTTGACTGGGGTCATTCTGAGCTCCAAGAGCGATTCACTGTGGAAGTTAACCCTCAAACTGTCCTTCCTACTCACTTTTCTCACCCAGTAGAAACGGGAAAAGAAAGGAAAGAGCTGGAAGCACAGCCCTGCTCACCAGTGGATGCTTCAGCACAATCATGTTCTTCCCCTTCCATTTGGTCTCAAACATCTCTGCAAAGTAGGCGCTGCGAGCGCCAAGAATGCAGCGGTGGGCACAGAAGGATTTGCCATGAACAATGAAAACAATGTCACTTTGGTAACCCTGCTCCAGCAACCTGTAAGAAACAGAGAGGGGAAATTCATTGCAAAACGAGAAAGGAGAGAATGGAGTAAAGCTAACGGGGACAATTAGGTGTAAATTAACAAATACCTCTGGACACTGCAGTCTTCTCTGAACACAAGGAAGAGATTTTAAAGAGAAACTTGTTGCCACTAAACACATCTCTAAAGGTTAATCCTGCTTTTCAATTGTCAGATGACAAAAAGCCCTACAGAAGCACACACTCTCAAAAAGAAACATGCCACTACAAAGTAAGGTGCAACTTTCCTGTTCTCTGGACACTGTCAGCGTGCACACTTTAACCATGCGGCAAACAGGAGAGGATGTGAAGTCACCCCCCCTCAAAAGGAAGGATGTTACAGGCATGAAATGCAGGCAGTTACCACATCACAGATGAAGCCTTGGTTATGACTGCACACCCACATCCTCACTCTTTAAGAGGTAAAAACCCAAGGCTGCTACTTCTCGAGTTTATGGCAACCATCACCAGTGTTTCCTAACGGCCACCATGCCTTGCATACATGCCCTCACAAACATCCCCAGGAGGTGAAACCAGGCAGACACCGGGCATCGTAGCCCTTCCAGAGAGCAGGACTGGTGCACAGAGAGGTGTGGGGTCACACAGGGAGATGGTGTCAGAGCAGCACCTTGAATGCTGACCTCAGTCTCCTGTCACTGTAACATCCTTCCTGCCAGTGTCTTGCCCAAACCAAAACAGTAGCAGTTAGGTGTTTCTTTCCCTCTCCTACTGTTGCCCTTTCTTTCAATTTTAACACAAGGTCTGCTTGGAATGAGAAGCGGAACACAGTACATATTACTCCTCACGTGCGCTCAACCCTTCATCATCTGAGCCACAAACTCACCAGGGGAGTGATAAATCACCCTGCAAAATTCTACTTCCCTGAAAGGCAAAATCGGACTTTACTCAGATAAACAAGTTTCCTTCCTCCTCTCTTTCCCCATAGCCTCAGAAATTAGGACTCTGTAACAATGGAAAGACTGTCACATCTTTCTAGGACTTATTTGCTCTCCAACTTTGAAAATATAGATGCTGAAACCTTGTTGCTTTTTTTTTTTTTTAAAGTCAGTCCAATAGGAAGGAAAAAAAAACAACAAACAAGTCTGTGTAATAACACCAGAACTAACAGGGTATTAAAACAGCCAGAAGAAAAGATTGACACTATTCCTCTACTCCTCAAGCAAGTCAGCCTTCTGCTCAAGCTCCAGGCTATGACTACAAGGTGTGATGGGCAACTTTGAGGAACAGCAACAAGAAGGACTGAGCTCTGTCCCTGTAAGTCAGTTTGAGGCACTCTATCTCAGAAACGAGACACCCATTATCACTGCTGGAAACCTTGGCTGGCAGGCTGCAGCACTTCAGGCCTGGAACTTAATTTCAGTTAACGTATTATATCCTAAATCGCTGATGTAGTTTGGGTGATCTGATTTCAGACAGTCAAAGATGACAGCCTAATGCTGCTGCATGAGAAAGACAAACTTTGTGTCGGCTCAGGAGTCTGTGCCGAAATCACTGGAGGCTGTATTTTAAATGCACATATACCTGGAAATCATCTCTTAGGAAGCTCTGCACATGAGGAACAAGATAGGGTGCTGGTCCTTCCAAATCTGCCCTTAACAGAGAGCTTGAATATGCAGCCAACAGCTAAGGAAGGATGACAGAATACGCTGCACATGGAGCTGCCTCATCTGCTTACCGCTGCAGGAAGACATCATAGTAGTCTCTTTTCATGCACTTTGCTGTGATCTGCTTGTACTCCTTCAGCAGGCGGCGGATGGCATCACTCAAAGCTCCGTACAAACAACGCTCTCCATCAAAAGTGTTTGCCTCGCATTTTGCCCCTGCAAAGCGATCACAGGTACACGCCAGCAGTCAGAGTTACATCCATCTCAGGCGTCCCAGACAAGTGTGACTTTTGGCTGGTGACACGTTTCACTGTGATCCTCTCTGCTACTGAGCACATTTACAAAAACTGAGCTCCCCTTACGCATGCACAACCCAAAGCTGTTCTCCCACTGCAAAATCCCTTTCTGAAGCAGTCATGACTCATTTAAACTGTCTCTCGTAATAAGCCTCTCAGCAGGGCTCCAGCAGTGTTCTGGGAAGAAAAATCTCACTGTACAAACAGTACAATCAGTTACTGGACTTTTAACAGCTCCTCCTAAAAGGCATTTCTGCCTTGCACGAGGCAAAAGAAATGCCTCTTTAGGTTAGAAATCTGGAAATTGCTATTTCAGAAGTTACACACACAAGTGGTTGATGAAGATGCTCTGAATGAGCAAGAGACAAAAACCTTTTGAGATCTGACTCTTTAACTCCTCTGCCAGAACACAGAGCATCACCACTACCGAAGGGAACTTGGGTGCTGGGAACCAAACAGGGAGGCACTTTGCCTGGAGAGTTTGTCTTGCTTTGTTTGAGGTTAGTCAAAGTCCTTGTGTTTCATCTTTGAGTCCTGTTTACAAAGCAAGGCTATCAGGAGAGTACCACAAGGTTTTACACAGACAGTTCTTCAGGTAAGTACGACTCTCACATCAGCATATTCCCAACAGCAATGCACCCCTGCAAAACATTTTCTGTGATTTCAGAACGTTGTGCTGCCTTGAGTCACCACAGAAAGCTTCCCTGTAGCAAATTCAAGCAGCAAATGGCCTGCAAAAGGGACCATGGAAGTGTGTCCAGGGCTCCCAGTGCAGCCTGAGATTGCTGATGATGTGGCTGGTTGCAACAGAAGAAATTACCACAAGGAAATTATATACAAATATCCAGCTAGAAGGATATACAATCTCTACAGAGCAGTGTGGAGAAAGATACAGCACCCATAACCACGATGCTTTTGCTCACCATTGGCTAGAAGATAGCGTACAAGCTCCTCATGTCCACAGAGACAAGCATAATACCTGACAATAACAAGAGAAAGAGAGTTAGAGATACAGTAGGAAGCAAAATTCAGTGTTTGGGCACACCACAGCACGCAGACCTCAGCACTGAGCCATCCCTGGTACGCTCAGATGACTCCCCATAGGGGTGAGGAATCACTGCTGAACAGCACAGAAGTCTGACCCCAGCAAGAGACTGCGCAGGATCTGTTCCCAGCACTCCCAGGAACTGCTGTTCTGCAAGGAGACCTCAAGGTCTCAGCCTGGGTTCAGCATTTTTCACTGCACCACCAGCTGCCAAATCCATCCTCATTTTAATGGAGCTCATTTCGTGGGCACTCAGCAACTTTACTGAATTCTCAGAACCACTCCTTGCTCCTCCTGTTGGTAGTGATGATACGATAACACTATGGTAAGGAGGGAGCAACACCCACAGAGGATGTGCAGCAAATCTGCCCCCCAAAGTCCTACTTGTGATGAGTTTCGTTTTCTCTTTCACAGTCTAAACCTTTCACGATTCTTTTTCACAAGGACCTCAAATTGTTCTACAAACTAGGAGAATCCTGCAGCCTGCACTGCAGCACACAAACATTAGCCTACTTTTACTTTGGAGAGTTATTTCCTGTTCTAAATACTCTAGAAATATTGCAGACGTCTAAATGCACTTTGGAATTGGTACGTGGGGAGGTAAAAAGCTCACACCACCCTCCTCAGCAGCAGCACGGGGATTCCTCACTGCCTACTGCATGCTCACAGCCTTGCCAGTGATGCCACAGTCACCGTGCATTCCATCCAGCCAAGCCTTCAGCCAAAAAGAAATGCTAAAACACCATAGACCTTGAGGGGGGAAAAGCCTCATCAGGCCAAGAACAGACTGCTTAACCCAGGTAATTAAGTCACAAAATCAACCACCCTTCTGAGAACTACTACAGGTGGGGAAACACAGACTTATTTAGAACAGCACCCTCAGAGAAGAGGGGCAAAGCCATGCAGCTCAATCTCCCACAAAGCAGAATCTGAGATGTTTTGTAACAGTGCTCCTAGCTGCTAATGCAGGGAGAGGAAAAGAGCTCCGAAATCCCTCCCCTCCCGCCCAGCCAGCACTGCAGGCTGCAAGGTAATTATGTCACAAAATCTACCACCCTTCTGAGAACTACTACAGCAAGCATCAGTCAGGTGGGGAAACACAGACTTATTTAGAACAGCACCCTCAGAGAAGAGAGGCAAAGCCATGCAGCTCAATCTCCCACAAAGCAGAATCTGAGATGTTTTGTAACAGTGCTCCTAGCTGCTAATGCAGGGAGAGGAAAAGAGCTCCGAAATCCCTCCCCTCCCGCCCAGCCAGCACTGCAGGCTGCAAGACTCACAGAGGGGTACTGTCCCATTTATCACGGACATTGATTTCCACATCTCGCTGTTCAAGAAGGTATCTGGAAGAAAAGGGAGAGCACGGTTACAGCTTCACGCAGCAGCTCGCTCAGGCGCGTTCTCTTCTTTCAAAAGATGTAACTCTGAGTTTGTACATAACTTCCAAAGGTACAACACCACCTTGCTTTCAACCCGGGGAGCTGCCAGCTGTGGCTAAAGGAGCACCAGTGAAACCCTGAACCCAAAGAACACTGTTCTGCAGCACAGCTTGGCACCCCCTTCAATCTGAAGTGATGCACGTGGGGAAAGATGGGAATCAAACCCCCCTCCTGCTGACCCCTAACAGGGAGCAACCCCAAAAGACGCCTGAGCACCTCAGCAGTACCTGCACATTCTCCTACAGTGCCTGCAGCCTGGATGTACACAAACAAGCGGCCAAGTTGACAAGGCCAAGGCTGGAACTCCCACCCTGTTTGTGTCTTTGCTTGCCACAGATAACACCAGCGTCACTCCAGACTGCTCTCAATTCCTG